GAAACACTGTATTCAAGAACTATTGATGAAAAGTCAGGCACAGAAAATATTTCTTGAAGGTATCATTGTAACAAAGCAGTTTCGTGGACAAGCTCCGTTAAGCATCTGTTGTATGATGTCGGAAAAATGAGTTTGTTTTGCTCAATAAGAGATGTGATTTGAATCGGAGAATTGGAGACTAATAGTGGTTGCTAGCTGTCAGAGAATTTAAAATATATAGTCTCCTATAATTTTGGAGAGAAAAACATTGGAAATATATCTATAATCTTCTCACAAAGATAGATAGTTGATTGTAATAATATTGGAGTTCAAGTTTGTGTTTATAAAGAGAGAGATGAGTATTAGTGCTTTAAACAATTGGAAGTTAAATCTATGTATAAGATTTAACTTCTTTACTAATGAAAAATAGTAGACGTTCAGATGTAGTGCTATAAACGTTTTACTGTATATAGTCTAGGGAATCGTTCCCCTGATTTCATATCTGTGCAGCTTTTATCGTGTCATCTGAGATCTTTGTGAAATTAAAGTGTTAATTTTTCTCGATGGCTTTTTATATGACCGAGGATTTCATACAGAAAGCAAAGGTTTTAAAAGTAATGTTTAAATATGATTTTTATCCTTTTCGTAGTGAAATCTTATCTGTGTGCAAAAATAAAACATTAATAGCTTGATTTTGTATGATAGTTTTTGAAGTGATGAACAATGCATGCATGTACATTGGAATCGCGACAGACATATGCGATGCCTGATTTCAATAGGCTAACAATAGTTTAGACCTGCTCAAATGTCGACATTGCTTTACAGATTCTTCAATAGTCTCGTTGAAATGCTTCATTGTTTCTCCGAGTGATAATACGAATCTTGAGCTTTCATCCGCCTTTTTTATGCGTTTGATGACTTATTTCAGGACTCTCTTATGTGAAATTTCTAGATTGTCTCGACGCGCCAGCGGATTCCTCTAGTAATAAGAATAAACTAATGTATCGAAGTGTAATCATGGTGGTTGTGAAGAATTTTTGTACATATGTAAACTTTGCAATTGTCGTTTATCCTAAAAAAATTCATTAGTTCATTTAGTTAAAACACGGCGCAGATATTTAGAATACAGAGTTACTTTTTGAATAGACACTTTTGGGGCATTGTGTATGTGTAGAATAAGTCTTCTAAACATCTATACCGTGAAACTGAAGAAAACAGATTTCTGCAAAGTGGAAAAAAGCGGATTGTTGAAGTGAGGAATTCTGTGGATCCCTATTAACTACTCTCAATCCTGGGTATGAATATTTCCTTAACTATAGTCGTGGCTCTAATCTGAAAATTGACTGTGTTTGTTTTTATTTATTTATTTCTCTACAGAATGCTACTTTCAATCTATGTCAGAGCACAACGAATTCTTTAGGATACCTTGAGTCCTCAATCTCTGTGTTTTGGAGTTATCCCTAGATCATGAAGTTCTATATTTTAGGGGTACGCTTGGATTCACAACTGCTGTATTTTGAAGATACCCTTAGGCTCTCAAATCCTATCATATAGGGGCACCCATTGGTCCTCAAGAACTATTATACGAGGATTTGATATGTTGCAAAGGTCTATTATATGATAGTATTCATAGACTGTCAAGGGCTATGGGTGTGAGTGTGAATGAAGAAGAGACACCCATATCCACATTCACACACCCACACCCATCCTCCAGAATAATGAGAGAGATATCATCAAAATACAGGATGAATCCATTACACTTAAAAGAACAAAAAATGTTGTTTTTGAAAAGTTGTTCGTGCAGGACTATTCGTTTGAACCATGTCTTAAAAAGTGATGGGTATTATTTATGTTAGTAAGAAAAACACCATGTTTTAGATAATAGAAGACAAATCTTTTTTGAAAAAGAATCAAACTTGAACATATGAAAACGAACA